AGGCCGCGCGGCGTGCGGTGCGGACTGCAGACTGCCTTGTGCCGAGATGATAAAGGTCGACAGAAACGCCTCTGCGGCCCTGAGGTTGCAGGACCGGGCAGCCCTGCCCTCTCACTCTCTCACTCTCTCCTTCTAGCCCAGCCCCCCCCCCCTCCTCCCGGCGCGGCCTTTTATTATTACTCTTTATGCCTGTCTCAGCCCAGCCTGGCGTAGACTGGCGGCGGCAACCGGGCCGAAGGTTGCCGAGGGTTCCACTTCTACTACTCGAGCAGCCGTTCGACCGTTCGGCGGCGTCGAATCCGTTGAAGGCCCCGCGTGGCGCCGCATACTCTCTGAAAAATCTCCGGGAAGAGGTTTTAGAAGGGTACCTGTTCTACTGTCTGCCTGCCGCCGCACTGGAGTTTTTAAGACGGACTGCTTCGCCCAACAGCCTCGGCTCGCCGTGTCGGCGCGCTGCTGGAGTGCTGGACCGGGAAGGAGGATTACGATCAATGACGAAATTGCGCGCGCCGCCCAGGCCGAGGCCCAGGCCCAGACCGCCTGGCTTGTGGCCGCGGCTCGCCTGGCTTGGCACTGCGGCACCCGGGACGCCGGCCTGCACTGAGAAAGCCTTACAAACTATTTTAGGCCTTACAAGGAAAAGCAGTTTGTTATTCCAAAGTATTTTGAGCATACATCGAGGGGTCCTATTCAAAAGATCTTATCTGGGCGTTCCCCTCAAGACAATCTTATCTTAAACGCCGGCAAATTTCACTCATTTTGATGAATCAGAATGAATACGACGGTGAGCGAAACATATTTCTACATGCACTTTTGGTTTAATTGATCTTCCATCTTTAGATTCACTTCATGAAACTCACAAATTATGTTGATATGTAGCTGTATCAAATGATCAAACTATGTGAAATTTACCTGCGTTTAAGATAAGATTGTCTGGGGGGGGGGGGGAACGCCCAGATAAGATCTTTTGCATAGGACCCCTCGACATAAGCTTACAAAATAAATTCTTCGCAAATTACGAACTATTTCTTCGTATAACAAAGTAATTTAGTTTGTATAATGCTTGCTCAAAATACTTCGTAAGGTTTTAAGCGTGTGCTTGCTCCACGACGGCCAGGTCCCGGACAGCCAGTCGGCAGAATGCAACGGCGTGTCCGAGACGCAAAGCCGCCGCACAGTGGGCCAGAAGACCGGTGGAAGCGGCCGAAATTCTAGACGCGTTTTGAGCTCCAGAGCCTCTAAACAGGCATAGAACCAATCGTGTGACCCCACCTTTGGATTTCTCGTTCGGAAAGCAATCCATTGGTGGGGTCACACGTTCGGTTCGAGTCCCATTTAGCGACTCTGGAGCTCAAAACGCGTCTAGAATTTCGGCCGCCTCCTGGCCCACTGTGCGGCGGCGCTAGCGTTGCCAGCGGCGGTTAGCTCCGTCTGCGCCGTCTTCGCGGTGCTACTGTCACGCGCCGCGGAGCCGAGCCGAGACGAGCGACAGGCGGGCGGGGGTTTTGATCCGGCGTGTCGTAAAAAGTTTTGCGAAACGATAAATCTCCGACGCGGTAATGATAGCCATGATGATAGTGCGGCGTGGCGAGGCGTGGCGGGGCCGCGCGGCGTCGCGTGGACGGGACGCGCGTCTAATGGGGGACTCCAGGACAAGCTCCAGGACTCCCCGAGGCGAACTTCCCTTTAGAAAACTGCTGCAGGTCTGTCTACCGTGCCGCGGTGCCGCGGTGCCGCCCCGCACCGGACCGGTTCTGCTGGTCGGCCGGTAGTGAGCCTCGTCCGGTCCGGTCTGTCACTGCACCAGCGGCAGCGGACGGGGGGCGCGGGGCCACGGCGGGGCCTCGCGCTCAAATAGAGCATTTCCTCGCATTTTTCTCGTGGCGTGGCCGCGTGGCCCCGCGGCGACGATCCGCGCGGTAGCGTAGCGCGCAGCCGCGGGCTTGGTGTGGCTCTTGGAGCTCTTGGCAGCCAACCCCCGCCCTGCGTCATGTCGAGGACTCGATGCCCTCGAAGGCCGGACGGTGGGCACCCTGTTGACCTAGCGCGAACTGTAGCAGTAAATACCCCCCCCAAACAACAACAACAATAATGATGGAGACTTATGCCTAGTACACTGATGCTCGGAATATGGTTTTTCAAATGTGGTGGCTTCGCGCGCCCTTCGCGGAAGCATCTCCGGCGGAAGTGTATATTCGCAGGGATGCCCGTCAAACGACTACGGCTATTCGCAGGTACTCGCGATTTTCTTGCCAACATGAAATAATAATTAGAAAGCGATGGGTTCGTGTCTGTTGTCCTCTTTTTGGTCAACGACTGGAACGGCAAAGGCAGTTGTGCCTTCCATGGCAACAAATGTACTATTTTTTCATGTCGTCGGGAAAAGTACCCGTTGTGCCGCGGTCTCGGACTACTTTTTTGGTCGTGCATCGACCATCGACAGGTGGTAGCCCTGCCATGTTTGTTTACATCATTTGGCGGAACCGCGGAACGCCCGCACGCATCGCATGTACGGGTTAGGTTGTTAGCTGTCAGCAAACCTTTTTAAATAATGAATCGCGATAGGGCACTGGTGCACATTGTACTGGCGTATCAAAACATGCTCAATAACCAAGCCGCCTACTTTCGGCTAATGACAAGGAGACCAAGGCGGCGGTGGTGGGTGAGGCCAGTCAATCGTCGGGGAAACGAACACGACTTCTTCAACAATGTGATTCGAGAAATTTATGAAACTGATCACGAGGAGTTTTTTAGACTGTTTCGTATGCAGCCTGATCAATTTAGGCACCTTGTTCGTTTAGTAGAACCTTTTTTGACGAAGAGGAGTATTCGGACTCCTTTGCCTACTACTCTTCGAGTTGCAGTGACACTGATGTGAGTCAGTCTTTGAGAATAATTTCTCCATAGCTTCATCGGTTCCCACCTAATTTCATTATTCTTTTGAAGGTTTCTTGCTCATGGCGATAGTGCGGTCTCGAAGCATTTTGAATTCCGCATTGGGACTTCTACTGTCCACAAGGTGATCAACGAAACATGCAAGGCAATCTGGGATGCTCTGCAGCCAATATTTTTGAAACATCCCTCAAAAGATGAATGGAAGAACATAAGCAAGAGGTTTGAAGAGCGTTGGCAATTTCCCAATTGTTTGGGAGCCATTGATGGCAGACACATGGAAATCCAATGTCCACCATGCACAGGAACAGAATATTACAACTATAAAGGGTTCTTTAGCATAGTACTCTTGGCGACATGTGATGCAGATCACAAATTTACTTGGATTGACATTGGACAGTACGATTCTATCAGTGATGGAGGTGTTTGGTCCAACACTGAGTTTGCTCAAGACCTAGAAAATGGTGAAGCGGACTTGCCTGATCCAAAACCTCTCCCACTTACAACTGCTCCCCCCTTCCCGTATGTGTTTGTCGGAGATGCTGCCTTTCCTTTGTCTACGTTTATGATGCGCCCTTATCCGAAAAAAAACCTCACTGCGGAACAGAGAATTTTCAACTACAGACTCTCCAGGGCCAGACTGACTATTGAGAACACTTTTGGCATTCTTTGTGCACAGTGGAAAATATTGCACAAACCACTCAGCATGAAAGTTGAGAATGCAGAGAATTTGTTCAAAGCTCTTGTGTGTCTCCACAATTTTGTAATGTCTGCGGAAGAAGCAGTGCCTCACGGTGACAGACGGTATTGCGGCCCCAGGCACTTGAATGTAATGGAACCAGATGGAAGTGTCACAGCCGGTGAGTGGCAACTACACCAATCTCAGCACTTTAGACAGCTTGGAAGGGTTGGTGCAAACTATGCCGGTTCTGTACCTCGAGGACAGAGGGAATTTTTGAAGATGTATTTTAATTCTGATGTGGGAGAATTATGACGGACTCGACGAATACTCTACAACATACAGCTGGCAATATTTGTGGAAAAGGATGCCGTATTGTGGAATTTGCTGTGCTGGGTCGCAGCCTGTGGTGCTGCTCGTGCAAAGAGTGCATCTCGCGACTTTACACACTAATTCCTGGTGGCCTTACTGATCCTGATTCGAGAGAGGCTTTCATTGATATATTTCAGAGACTTGCTAATTACGCTGTCATTTTATTCTATTTTATTATTTTGTATTTAAATATTCATTTTGTGTTAGTAAAGTTACTTGTACCATACTTGTGTTGTACTTATTATTTGGTAATTAAATATATATTTTGTGCAATTAAATTTACTTATGCTGTACTCATTACAAAACTACATCAACCTTCTACACACATAAACTTACGCAGATACTAGAAAGTGTCATCCAAACTTAAGTTCTGTCCGAAACAAGGTATATGACATTGACTTCTCTCATGCGACACTATCAGATGAATACCCAGCAAAACAAATGAAAGCAAGTGAAATTTTCTTTTGAAAAAAAATAGTGAAAAATAGAGCCAAAGCAAGGGCTGTCACTAACGACTTGTTTACCCACAGCACAAGGTCCTGAGACTGGGGATCTAAAGGTCTATTGTCCTGATATTTCCCTTCATTTCAACATGTTGTGCTTAGTGAAGCCCTGTGACTCGTTGTCTGTGTTCCTGATAAGTGTTCCTACCCACAACGCCCTGGGATCGGGTCCCTCCCACCACAGTCAAAGTCAAAGTGTTCATGAATGAGGAAAAATCATAAACAAACAGGGACACTCATATTTGTAACAATTTATTGTTCACAGTAAAAAAGAAGGTTTTAAAAACTCATTGTCTCAATTGAACTTGGTCAGAAACATCCTCTGCTTTATGTGACCCAAAAGGATACTTTCTAGCTCAGCTATTCAGCACGAATTTTTTTAAAGTAGCTAGAAGTACTTTATGAAAATTATCCAGCTAAGTTCATAGCTGCAATGGCAATTGATTGAACAGCAAAAATACTCATAATTAAGTCACATTTGGAATGTTAATGAATGACAACAAAGGGGTAATGAATGAAATAGCACCTACAGAAAACTTCATCAGATGGAACAATTAAAAAAAAAACTCAGCTTCAACTAAATTACGCATAATGCATAATAATCAATGACTACCAGATATTTACCTTTTTACATGCTAAACAGTAGCCATGTCATGTACACATATATAAATTATATGTTGGATTACAACATTTTAATTATGTACATAAATCTTAAGAGGCAGGATCCTAAAGATAAAATCTTAGCACCATATCACAATGGCACACATAGTGGGCCTTTTTGAACACACAGCATGCCATGCACACAATGTTTAAAGTTTATTTACAGTACATCATTAATTTACAATATGAAAACCCCAGGTGTGTTCACTCTACAACAGTTACAGTAAGGCAACCAATGAATGAGATTAGACAATGACTCATGGACACTACATCTATAACACTTTGGTACTTATTTACACATATTCTTTCAGCAGGCAGTAATAAAAATATTTTGTAACAGTTCAGGAAGCATAGAGCCAATAAAGGGAATTTACGTTCCCTTTGTTTATTTTTATGGACTGAGCGTTATAAATATCTACACTTCTACACAAAAGAAACAAAACAAACTCGCACTCTTGAAATTTCACTTATACACAATATCATTCTAACAGACAAAATATCACTTATATGTACAAAAGAAAAATTCAACAGTAAGAAAGTGCATAACTAACAAATCACAGTCTTGCACTGCAACAACAATAAAAGGTAATCATCCACGCTTGGTCATATAAATCATAACATCCCAACAACAACTTACAATACAGAGACAGCTTTTCACACAAACAAGTACATCCACGCACAAAAGCTTACATGCCACGACTATTTATACACTTAAAAAGTTAATTTCTTCCTCTGTTCGAGAGAAAGCACATAAATAAGGCTTAAGAAACAATTTGAGAAGCAATTCATTAAAGGCAGTGGCTGGTAGTATCCAGAGACATTAAGTACTCTGCCTAACATAAATAATGATCTTCACCATAACTGGGTCATGTTAAATTCAACATGTTGCTTTGCACTTTGGTAAGACAAAACTAAAACAGGGCTTGTGTGGGCTTGTGCTCTAAACAAATCTCCAAAATTTCTCATCTTTATACAATTTACAATAAAACATTTATAAAAATACATTTTTTTTGATAAATTTGCTGTTGTTGGGTAGTTAAAAACAAACAACTTGACTAACAGCAGGAACTACACATTGCTCTGCAACAATTTAAAAGACATCCTTTTTTTTTTTTGCTATTTACTGACTCACTTTACAGTCATGTCAGGTCCTCTTCGACATCCTCACAGAGTTCTCAAACTTAATTTAAAGTTTCTCAAATACAGTATCTCTTGAATTTATGAAGGACTTTCTTTACTACCTGGGTAGAAGAGATACTGTGTAGTTACAAAATCTCATTACACATACGTCATATCCACGAACCTCCTAGCAGCTTCACCTATGTTTTTAAGTAATTTAAGTTAGTCTCAAACACATTTTTGTTCGAATAAAATTTAAGAACAGTAAATGAGTAAGTGGGCTAATGTCTATTTTTCAAAAAATATATTTACGGATGACCTCTGGACAGTCCTTCTTTTGAAAGTCCCACATAGAGACAACAAAGAAAATGTCAAAATCCATTGAGTTAAATCTGAATTCCAGGTTGTTTTTAAGTTTTTTCAGGCAACACAAAAATGATACCACATATTTTAGGCATTGCAACACCACTTCATTAAGTGGACCCTACCCAATGGAGAATGGCTCATCAGGGAGCATAAAACAAATTGATGAGACTAGTAGTCGAGATCACTGTTGTCACTTCTGGGTTTCTCAATGTTTCCGGAGAGAGTAGGGTCGGGTCGCTGCCTTTTGAAGAATCCAAATTTCCATAGTACGTAAGTGAGAAGAATGAGTAAGACTAGTCCGGCTACAACAGCCACAACAATGATCCATATTGGCACCTGCTCTGCTTCTTGCTGATCCAGCAGCTCAGGATAAGCCACTGTTGAAACCTATATGGAATAGAAAACAAGTTTAGACCCACATTTACAAACTATAATTTACTCACAATAAATTTGCAGTACAGCAAAATGATAACATTTTAATATTACCATTGTCTCATCATCTGACGTATCCTGTTGAATTGCATGCGATGGTGGAATGTGTATCTTTGCTCGAGAGCTAATTTCAACAAAACTAACTTTAGGATAGTCTTCCACCAAAGTAGCATTCCATAGACGAGCTCTTATTCTAACAGTAGCAGCTTGGGAAGCTAACAAGTTGTGAACACTACAAACAAATTTAAAACACTTAGCTGTACCAAGAAGACAATTCTGAAAAGAAATAAAAATATAATTAGATGTTTTACTGTTTCCACATAAGCAAATGAAGCGTTATTTCATACGTACCATGTACACCACTTGGTGTTTTCTCCCCTCCTTGTCAGTATATGCCTCTGGACGGACAATCATTTCTTGTTCTCTTCTTCTACGTCTGTGAGGGAAATCATCAGACCTGTTTGTTTCACTTGAATATGAATTACCACCTTGTGGAGCTACTTCATCCAAAGGAGTCTCATCAAGGCCTGGCCTATTTTCAAAACCCAGGGGGTTGACAAGATCCTTCTTTATAGTGCAACTTCCTCCACCTTGAGCTGAGTAATTAAAATTGAAAATTAGTGGACATGTTTATAAAATGTAGTTTAGAACTTGTCACCTCCATGTGGTCACTCACATTCAACTTCAGGAACACCTGCCAGGTAAAGAAGCCATTTTCCATCCCGCTTATTATTGGCAACTTGGTAAGGCCACTCGAAATGAATGTCTACAGTCGCAACTCTCCATGGTCCCTTGTTGAACACTTGATATGTATGTAATATTCGTGAACCGACCTCATCATAGTACTTTATGGCTGATTCACCCTTCACCTCTCCAGCATAGAAAACTTGCTCAGGACGTGCTGACCTGTGGTTTAAAACAATTGTAAACAACCAATTGGCAGAGTTAATCAACAGAATGATAAATTTAAAGTGCTGAAAATGTAGGAAATGTTACCCTGTGATCTGGAGTTCTGCCCTTTTAACAACAGCTGCCATCAAATGTAGGGGATCCTTTTTTTCCACCTCCTGAGATGTTGAGTTTGCAAATACAATAAACTCGAGCATGGTCTGAGTGTCATCTAGGTGCTTTGGATTGAAACGGAGCAACAAGTTTGCCAGGCTACCCTTATTAAATGGATTGCCTATGGCACAAACCACAAGAGTATTGTTGAAGGGGTTACAGCTTAGTTGCTTGTTGCCCTAAAATAAACAGACAATTCAACACAGGTAAAAGAGGAAAACAAAATTGCTCTCACAAAATCTTAAATTATTAAAACAAACCTCTACTTTTCGTCCAATATAGCCTATGCTAGCTGGATGAGAAACAAACAGCTGTGTTTCGTAAGCAGATTCCCGATGATTTGAGACAGAAATGTTGAGACCTAGTTCCTGGTCCTTGCCCAACATTAACATCCAGGTATCTGGTTCAGGACCTTGAGTTAAAATAAAAATAATTTTTAAATTAAAAAATTCATTGATTTTTGCAGGGCATATGAGGCAGCAATGTCTGAATACATATATTTCAAATTACACTTACTCTTAGGCAGTTGAAACTCAGCATCAACATGCAGGTCACTTTCACAGATATCATTGTTTCCACAGTCCTTCTGGAAGGTGGCAGTAAAGGTTTTTGCTGCCTCTTGCTGGTTCAGGATAGGGTAATCACTTAATGATGGCACTGGTTCACCAGGTCTCGGTACTCGAGGCTTGTCCTGAATTAAAGAGTAGCTCAGCTTGAACTTTATTGCTGACTGTATATCAGGTGTGTTTTCCTAAAAAGATAACAAAAAATAGAGGAATATGTTAATTGTTTAAATTTACAAAATATTAGAGAAGCACACTTTGAACAGATAGTGAAAACGTATCCCAACCTTGACATAGACAATATGTTCTTCACAATGGTTGAGAGATCCAGTTGAGCTCATCTCTGGCTGAATCACTCTTTCCACATAAGATGGTCTAGTTGTATTATCAGGCCCAAACCATACTCGTGAAAACTTTCTATTATTTCCTGCAAATGTTTCAGCATCAATGCGATACTTAACTCGGACACTTTTACCACTCTCTCCATGCCTTTGACCATGTTTAACAGCCTCAATGGTGCAGCAAGTTTGGAAAGAAAAACTGCAAAATAAATAATAATTTTAAAATTCTGAAAAAGAAATGGCGGAGCAAGCAATGTATGAGGTATCTTTGCAAAGTAGAACACACCATGTGTGCTTGTATTCACGATCTCTCTCACATCCCTGTCCATTTGGATCAATGTTCACAAGGTTTCTTTCAGGGTGGACATTCGTACGAATTCCTACAATGGGTCTTGATCGCAACAGTACCACAGAATCACTCTCATATGCTCCAGCCAGCAAATCTGGATAACCATTTTCATCAAGGTCTAATCCACCACTTAGGGAGTAACCAAGTGTTGAAATATCGGCAGATAAATTTTCAGCACGGATTATCTAAAAAAAGGAAAATAAAATTAGACCTTTCGGTATACAAGGCAATGTGTCCTATTGATTCAAAACATTTCCATACCTGAGCAGGCTCTAAAATGAGACCATTCTTTGAGCCGAGATAAATATAAATAGCACCCCGTCCCTCGTAGGGAGCACCAATAGCTAGATCATCAAATCCATCGTTGTTGAGATCACTCACATTTGCAATAGCAAAGCCAAATCTGACAAATAATCAATGATTAATAGGCCTGTTTTATTATTGAGCATAATTATTTAAGAAAATAAAAGATTTACCTTGATTCAGGTTTTCCAGTAAGTTTGATTGGTTTTGTGCAGCTTAGTCTGCATTTCTCTATACTATTCATAAAAATGTATACAGCACCACCGGCCTCTTTATCAAAGTAGAATGGAGCTCCAACGATCAAATCTGGAAGCCTGGTTAAAAAAACAACAAATAAACATGCATAAACGTGAAATTCTGTTTCTTGTATTAAATGAAACCATAGTGGTGTACATCATTTGTTGTGTTTCTTACTTGTCTCCATTGAGATCAGCTGCAATGACTTCATACCCAAAACTACTGGCAAATTGTTCTCCTTGCAAAGTTGCTTCCGTTTTCATGGTGGAACTTTTTCCATTTTTTCTAAAAATTACAACTTGGCCCGTTCCATTGGAACGAGGAGCTCCCGTTACATAGGACATGTGCTTCCCAAAAAAATGACCTCCTGTCACAGACATTCCTGAGATACAAGAAAAACAAAGGGATTATTAATAAAAAGTTAGACCAAATGATGAATTGACTTGTCTCTTTTTCTGTACCTAGATAGCTGTATTTTTCAACTGTTGCCTCATGGTCTAAAACTGGACTGAAATAAACAGTTTTATCTCTAGCAAGAAAATCTGAGGAGATGCTTGTGGCAAATGTAGTTCCTCTCCATGTGTAAGCACCAGGAGAGCCTACAACCAATGAATCGTCATCCAGAATAATACCACTAGTGCCAGCTTGACAAAATCCATACTGTTCATGTCCTCTGTAAAATATGCAATAAATTAGAAATTTATTAGATTACATAGTGCTCTTTGAATAGAATCATAAAGGGAGAACTATACTTGCCTGTCAGTTGGTCTTCCTTTGCAAAACTCCCATGTGTTGTCGTAGTGCAACGTTTGATTGAATGTATAGCAAAGACCAAAGCCCCAGACAAAGTCCAAACCGGTCTTTGCATAACGGTGCGCACACACCTAAACAAAAATAATTTTGAACATTTAAAAAATTTCTTGTTTTTGTTCTTTATAAGACACATACCAAAAAAAGAAAAAAGACATACCAGCACTGTTCCTCCAGCTCCTTGACTGCGAACTGTGACCCCAAGCCACTGGCCGTTTTTCACCTCTTCTTTCAGCGGCGCCATAAGCTGACCTGCATCATCAATTGCTGGAAGGCAAGACAGCAAAAAACACGATATTAGTTCATTGCAACATAAACAGTATACCATCCTCAAAACAAAATTTTTTATGTCTGCAAAAACATTTTAAGCACATTTTACAAAATAAAATGAAAATTTCTGAAACTGCTCTGTTGATTGGTTTTTGATTTTGATTTATTTACAAAATGCTTTAAGCAAGGAAAACTTTAGAAAAGGCAGAAAATTGTTGATAAGTTATTTATTTTTCATCTCACTGTTTCTACTAATATTCTTATGTACAGCACACAACACACATGCATACAGTTAAAAAAAAAAAACATACATAAAAACACACACTGAAAAAATATTATACAAACAGATAACAGTCTACTTAGTGACTTGAAAAACATGCAGAAAAAAAACACATTGAAAAGAGAGATGGAGAAAACACAAAAGAGAAAGAAAAACTGAGAAGAGTGAAGTGCAACATAAGGAAAGAAATCAATGATATACTATAAGGAAATTATAAACTGCAACTTAAGAAAAAATAAGAGGATGAGTGGTGCAACATCCACTTACAACATTCACATGCCAACAATACATGCTGCATATGCTGCAAGCTAACAACTACCACTCCATAGGAAATTTGCTGCACGGGTGAAAATAAAATTTTCAATCTAATACAGCCAAAGCTGCGATAATAATTACTGGCAGATGAAAGGACACTGGTGCTTAAAGAAAATATGCTTTAAATAAACTAGGCTGCTTATTTCCAATGGAGGGGGTTGCAAGTCTCACAAACACAGAGTGCATTCATGTGTTGCTAAAAACAAACAAAATACAAGAAATGCATTAAATTTGGGTACGGGACGGGGAGGGGCGGGGCGCAGAAAACACAGAAAAGGGCCCAGTACCGCATGAGTCCTGTTAAAGACTTTGAACCAGGGGTGACTCGCAACGCCGGCAGGGTAGGCCACCCTTCGTACTCTTACGTCCTGTGGTGGGTGCGAGTCCGCGTCGCAGGGTGCCGTGCCCGCCGTGCCCGCCGTGCCCGACGTGCCCGCCGTGCCCGACAAGGCCGTGCCCGTGAACATGCTTTATCGTGATCCATACTTCCGTGGGTTTGCACATCAGAGGTGTCCGCATCCGTGTTCGAGTCCGCCACCAAATGTGGTTTGCAAAGATGCAGCTTGTCGGGGATTGAATGTACACAACATAGAGTGAAAAGCCTCCGTGGCAGTAGGCAGGCTTAGTGACACTTGGCCTTTCCCAGGCCCGCCTTTAAAAAAATTAGGTCACACACATACATACACAAACTGTTTAAATTATTATTGCATGAAACAAATGACCGTAAAAACCTCAACTTGTTTTTAAATAAATAAAGAGAGCCACACAACGTGCCGAAAAAAAAAAAAAAAAAAAAATTTAACATGTAAGAAAAATAAGAAACATTGTTCAAAAAAATATGCAAATGTAGGCAAGCGGTTCACTCAGGCATAGTGGAGAAAAAGTGGCATTCCTGGCAGAAACAATCAAACCAGTCAAGACTTACTCGAGATGTCTGGGATCCCCGGTTCTGAGGTTCAACGTACACCACACGGCCAGGGGAAAATATGTATTATTTGAAGTCAAAACCATCTACAAACACCATTTAGCACAAACTACAAGAGAGACGCAACGAACATCGTGTCAAAATTTACCTCGATCAACAATAATAAATGAATAAGAGAAAATATTTTTTTCAAGTATGAAAGAAATGAAATTTTGTTGCAAGGGCTTGCTACAAATGTACACAGAAATTGAACTTGTGAGTGGTCGTCACGTCTCTCTTTAGCACTACAATGATACATTAACAATTATAGTACAGGAATGGAAAACAGTCGTTTTTGGCAAGAGTCCCAAAGCAGTTCTTTTAGGATGATGGAAAAGTGTGAATCAGACATTTTTGTACTCCAGGCAAGGGCACTAAAGGAAAGAAAAGCCTTTTTGAAAAAAAAAATATCATGGTTTAACATAGTTAGAAGTTCAGATTCACACTTGACCGTTTGACAAAATCCATCAAAGACTTTTAAAATATCCATCACGAAGCTCCGTAAGCATCACTTGGACAAGAGAGACACCCCATTTTCCCCCTTATTGTCTACTTTAATTAGACAGGGACGTCACTATGTGAAGCACACCACGGCTAAAGTCCTACCACTACACCAGCACTACGAAGTGAAACGGAACGGACTGGACAAAGGAAGGGTCCTGGGGCAGCGCGAACTACCCGACAGGACTAGATATAGGACACCGTTACCAGATACACTATTTACACCCGTCTATAGTATTTCAGTTGAGATGCGCAACAGCGAACAGCGTACACGCCAAGGCGATGCAAACCAGCATGCCAGTGCACGAATAAAAGTGTGCATTCCGCGAAGTTTCCCTCGAGAACTGCACACTGAGATTCAGAGTCCAGCCATACAGGTTGCCTACCGGAGGAGGGTACCAAAAGACACGCTGCTGAGTCTCGCACTGGATGTGGAACCGGCAGTCCGGCGAGCATACCACACTCTCGCACTGCTCGGCGTCGGCCGGGAGGCGGCCTCCACTACACTATTTACAAGAGAGACTGTCAAGTTTCTGTTAAGTCCTGCAACGAAGGTAAAGACAGAGAAGGCGGCGCCGTCGTCATCGCCGTGGTCCAACGTGACCACGGCGAGGTGCTCCGCTCCGCCAGAAGACCGGTGCAGGCGGCCAAAACTCTAGACGCGTTTTGAGCTCGTCGTGTAGCAGGATTCGAACCGAGCGTGTGACCCCATCAATAGGTTCCTCGTTCGGAGAGCAATCCATTGGCGGGGTCACACGTTCGGTTCGAGCTGCATTTACTGACTCCGGAGCTCAAAACGCGTCCGGGATTTTGATCGCCTCCAACGGTCTTCCGGCCCACTGTGCTCCGGAGGGGAAGTCCACGACGAGTCCCTCCGGACCTCCGGATTGGATGCTTACTTCTCCTGCCGTCCGTGATGACCTGCTCGCAGTCGTCCTGGTACGTGGAGACGGGGCAGCGGTGCAGCGCGCCCGACCGGTTCGTCCCCGGCTGGAGGTTGTTGTCGACGGGGGCGCCGACCAGCATCCTGCGACAGAGGAGGAAGGGAAAGGGTTAGCTAGCTTTTAGCTGCGGCCGGCCGGGCCGGCCCGGCCTCGGCGGTAGTCGAACCCGCGCCCTCCGCCCGCTCCGCCCCAAAACAGGCGCCCGGCCAACGGGACGACTTCCTGCAGGCAGGATGCGCGCCGGCAGGACAGTGGCGGCCACCAGCCCCAGCACGGCCTAATGCCGCGCCATTATTCAAAGCAGCGGCCTGCTGGCGAGTCGACACGTCGCCGACGTCGCCCTCGTCGTCCTAGGTACCATGAGCGAAGGGCCCTCCTCTCACGGCCCCACTTTTCGTCCTCGTCGTCATGTACTTGTCATCCTCGTCGTCCTTGTCCTCCTCGTCGGCGTCCTGGGGAACCTGGACCCCGATAGCCTCTCCGCGCGGGGCCGTGCAGTACAGTACGTACAGTGCAGTGCGGTGCAGTCCGCGCGTCGCATCATTACCCGATGGCCCATTACAGCAGTGCAATGCGGTCCGGTTCAGTGGGCGGTCCGGGGCGGGGCGGGGCGGGGTGGGGCGGGGCGCACCTCGGCCACGACGTGGAGTAGAGTGCGGTCTGGACCTCGGCCCGCCGAATAAGCCCCCGGGGCGGAGATACCCCACGACCGAGAACCGAGAGCAGAGACCTCCCACGCCGAGCCTCCAACACACCTCGCCGATAAAAAGAGGGGGGGGGGGGAATCATTCTCCTGGCGCTGTTTCCCAGGGTCCATCATAACTACCTGACCATGATGGTGTTTTCAACCAAGTCCCAAACCAATGAAAACGATACGAAGGCTGTTATTTTCACGCAATGTTGAAATATACTGTAACGCAATGCTGGCCATTCATTCACTACTACCGTTCGACGCTCGCGTCTCTGTGAGTGTGTGTGAGAGAGAGAGAGAGGTCGTGTGTGTATGTGTGCGCTTGTGTGTGGGAGAGAGAGGGAAATAGAGAAAAGTGTCACGCGCGGCCATCTGGCGTCGACTCGATTGGCCCCGCGGAAGACACGCGTCATTAATCCCCTGGCTGGCGACAAATTGGCTGACCGGCCGGACAGGCCGACGACATGGGGGAGGGGGAGGGGGGGGGGAGCGGGGCGCACTCCGCGGCCGGCGAGAGATCGAACGGTGTCGCGCGCAAATCCGGCTGGCGTGCGTGGAGATAGCTGCCGACGGCGAGCCGCGCGCGAAATGCAGCCCCAGATTCAATCCCTCTCACCGCACCGCCGGCACCACCAGCACCCCGCGCGCTCGCAGAGGCTGCTTCCGAACAGTGCCCTCGTCGCGCTGTCTCTCTCGCACCCCTTCGGTGCGCCCCGTGGGTGCGAGAGAGACAGCGCGACGAGGGCACTGTTCGAAAATCGGGCCGCGGGATGAAAGGCGCCGGCCGGCAGCGCGTGCCAAGCCATCTCGCTGGAGACCGGGGCTTGGAGCTGGAGGCAGCGCCGCGGCACGCAAACTGGAATTACGGCGAGAGGGTTTTAAATCCAGGCAGGCAGGCCGTGGCAGGCCACTCAGCCGGGCAGACCAGTGGGTGCACTAGTGCAATAAATCCAGACGGCCGGCGGCGACCGAAATCGGGTATCCGGAGAGAGAGGGGCGGTATGACGGCACACACACACAGCGAGGCGCGAGCAGCACTAATGGCGGAGAAATACACTCACACTAACGCACACAAACACACACGCACGCACACACACGCCGTTCCGCTTTGCTTTCCAGGACATTCCAGGACCACTCCTCCCGCCGAGCGCCGCGTCTGTTTGCATGTCATTTACACCGTGAGGGGATCCCAGGAGGCGAGCCCCCGCGCCCCGCACGCCGCGCGCTGCCTTGTTCTCGTTCTCGGCGGGAAGGGGGCAACTATTCAAATATTGACCGGCGCGGCGCGGCGGCGGGGCTGACGGGTGTGGAGAGTGGCGCGCACCTGGGGCCGCCGGCCAGGCCGTCGCGGTCCTCGACCCCGGGGAAGTGCAGACGAAACGAAGCCTCTGCCGCCGCGCCGCGTCCTGGCAGTGTCCTGCGGTGTCCTGCAGCCAGGTCACCGCCAACCGGCACGCGGTCCTGGTCCTGGATCTGATAGCCTCAGCACAGGGCCCGGCCCAGGCAGCCCAAGCAGCGTGTCCGGGCTGTGCGCCACACAGTGTACGGTACAACGACACTTCGGCACCCCGCCGCGGCCCCCGCAGCGATCCGGGCCAATCAGCGCCCCGCAATCGGCCGCCTACATCCACCGCGACAGCGGCGTGGCGGCCGATGGTACCCGATGGTCGCATGGCCGCGGTGCACGGCGACCAGGGTCCATGGCGGCGCTCTGGCGCTCTGCGACCACACTGTGTGCGTGAGGCACGTGTACTTTGTGGCTAACCGTGCCTCGCTCCAACAATGCGGGCCGGGGTTTGTCCGCCGCCCCGCCGCCCCAGGCCGCCGCCGCCAAGCCCATCGAGGACTCGGACGTGAGCTCGGCGCCGTGGCGACGTACGTCCGCCAGCTGCCTCCACCGCGCCGCGCCCGCCGTGCCCTACCCGCTTGTTTGCTTGCTCTAAGAATGAGGGGGGAGAGGGGAAGGGAAGGGGGCGGCACAGGACGAGCAGGGGACGAGAATCGATGAAGCGATGAAAGTGCCAAATGACTTCGGGATGCCCCATCCCCCTACGTAATCTCCCTTCCCACCCCCAGCGCGACGCGTTTCAGACAGAGGGGGACGCGTCCCTTATTACAACCCAGACTGATTCCCAACTCTGCTCTGTCTCCATCGCGCCCCTACGGACCACCCCATGAGTACGAGAGAGACAGAGCGACGAAAGCACCGTTCGGAATCATAGTGTGCTGGTGCTACACTGAACGCCACTTCCAAGGGACGTGTCGCCCGGAGCGCCGAGCCACCCGGCATATGCACGCCGGGACTGCTGCCATTCATCAAATAGTCCCCCTCCCCCTCCCCCTCCCCTCGCACCGCGGTCCCCATACAAAACAGTAGCCACCCGGTCCGGTGGTCCGCGGCGCGAATTCACTCAGCAGCCTGCAGGCCGAATCCGAAAAGTGCGGGGTTCCTTCGCTGTCTCCCTCGCACTCGCGCCGGGCGCTGGGCGCCTCGTAGGGGCGCGAGAGAGACGGAGCGACGGCGCTGTTCGGGAATCGGCCCGCCGCACCCTCCCCCTCCCCGCGGCGCGCCTGCAGTTGCAGCGCCAACATTGTGTGCGCCACAACTGGCACACCTAGGACTCATTCCGAAGAGGCGGTCGCTTCGTCGCTCTGTCTCTCTCGCACTCATGGGGTGCTGCGTAGGGGTGCGAGAGAGACAGAGCGATCCTTCGGAATCGCTCGGCGGGGCGGCGCAGCGCCCAGCGCACTAAATAGCCGCCCCGTGGCGGGCGTCGCCGCCCCTGCGCGTGCGGCGCGCGGTGCGCTGCGCGACGTGCGATGCATGCGGCACGTATCAGATTGGCACGGCTTTGCTGCCCCCGCCGCGCGGCCCTGGCCGCCCTGGCCCGCCAGTGTGCTGCTGCACTGTAACGGAACGGCGGCACTGCTCTCTGAGGGGCGTTAGTGCGTCGTCTGCCGCCAGGGGCGGGGCGGGGCGGGGCGGGGCGGGGCGGGGCGGGGCGGGGCGGGGCGGGGCGGGGCGGCCACGCGCCCGCGGACGGACAGCGGGGGTACCATTCAAGACGCCGAGGGATTCGCCTCGCCACGCGGCGAGGCGGGGCAGCCAAGAAGGCAGCACACTGATTCCGAAACTCCTTTGCGTCGCTCTGTCTCTCTCGCACTCCTGGCGCGTCCCGTATAGGTGCGAGAGAGACAGAGCGACGGGAACGACTCTCGAAATCGGTGTGCAGCCACGGCGGCGCGGTGCCCCGAGCCTTGCAATCTCAATCAAGCCTCGACTCCTCGGTGATTGGGGGGCGCTGCGCTGGGCCAAGCGCTGGGCTGCATGCATGGGGAGGGCCGGGCGGGGCCGGGCTGCTGCAGCATGCACACGTTGTGCACACGCCGCACAGCGGGGCGAGGGGCGGGCGCAGGCGGCACCGTCGCACCTCCCCCCTGTCATCACGCCGCGCCGGCCGCCCAGTGAAGCACCGCCCTGCGAGGCGAGAGGCGACAGACTCGGGCCGCGGCTGACACGGTGACACTCCCCACCTCCCGGCCCCGGCACCGTGGATTTCCTCCAAGAAGGCGGCAAACTTCTTGCACTCATTGCAAACTCCAAAAATCACTTGCAATCACTTGTTAGGTAAAAGACCGCAAAAGTCTCGATTGTTACATTACACTGGTAGAACTGAAGTGTTCTTTCATGCCTTTCTTTCAGCAAAGTGGCTGCGAAGCTCGACGCATGGTGCTGCACCCACCAACTGCTTCTCGTTACGCAGAGCTTCAAGTTCAAAGCGTATAAACTCTTGAACTGTAGTTCTAAGCCTGAAAGAAGCGGCACAACGTCGCTTCGGTCCTACCAGCGTATTTCAGACGGTGATGATAGATCCCTCGTTTTCTTGCCGCGCGTGCAGCCCGGCGGCTTGACTCGGGTTCGGCGGTTCGGCCCGCAGCTGGCGTGCAAGTGCATGTTCGTGAAGGCAAGCCCCCGCGGCAGCTGCGCCGCGGAGCTGTGGCGGCGCAGACGAGTGCACGCGAGACTACGAGTGTACAGTGTACGGCCCGCCGCCGGCCGCACGCCACGGACTCGCGGACCGCCGCGAGGTGGCCGATCAGGGCCTGCACGGGCTTCTGCGGGATGCACCAGCAGACTGGAGAGAGAGACAGAGCGACGAAAACGACTCTCGGAATCAGTCTGCTGGGTCCCGTAGGCCGCCGTGGGCCTTCCCTGGCGCTCAGCGCTCCTTGGCCAGGTTGCGGCACTGTAAAGTCGCCGTGCTTTACCCAGCACGCCGCGGGCTTCGCTATCGGTCGAGTCCGCCGTCAGCAAGGGTCGCTCTGTCTCTCTCGCACCCCTACGGAACGCTCCATGAGTGCGAGAGAGACAGAGCGACGAAGTATACCGCT